ATGTCCGCTTACACTCAGTGAAATCGTGTATAAATGGTGTCAATTTCTGGATATTGGATTTTAAGCATATTGACTTTTTTATTTTAGAAATCTCTCTGAGAAACTCTCTCTTTTTGAACTGCCTCTACTAATTTAAGAAAAGACCAATTCAATTGAGCTGTAAGACAGATAGATTTGGATATCTTTCGTTTCTTAACTCGATCGACAAATCGGAAAACATATGAAATCACTCTGAGAAGTTTTTTATATGATGAATGGTCATTTATTAATTTCAAAAGAATGTTCTCAGAACATTCCTTATCTGTCTTACTATTTGAGGTCAGTAATACTTTGGATTTTCTTATTTCCAATGATTTTTGCTCCTCAGTCAACTCGAAATGCTTGTTGACTGGCCATTTAGACATATCGTCTAACAAAAATGTAGGTCCTTCAAACCATATTGATGATTTGATTTCATCTACACTGCATCCTCTCGACACAATGTCGGCTGGATTCTGTTTAGTTGGCACATGACGCCAAATACATTTTTCTGACCATTCTTGAATTTCTGCGACTCGATTTGAGACAAATGTGGCCAGGGAAGAAGGATGGGTTTTTAACCAGTATAGTGTAATTTCAGAATCAGACCAAAAGTATATTTTTTCAACATCAAAGTTCATCATTGGTTTAATTCGTAACCACATATTTGCCATGAGATGTGCTGCTGAGAGCTCCAACCTCGGAAGAGACATAGTTTTGAGGGGAGCTACTTTAGATTTAGCTGTTAGCAGCCTGCAAGATACTCCATTAGAGTCCTGAGAACGAATATAGAAACTACATCCATAGGCACGCATCGATGCATCTGAGAAACCATGAATTTGGATTCTAGATGAAACATTCGTGTTTACGAATCTTGGGATTTGAATCGTGTCTAACTTTGAAAGATTGAATTTGAAATCTTCCCAGACTGAACTCAAACGCATGGGAATCGATTCATCCCAGTCTAATTTATTAATCCAAAGTTCTTGCAATAACATTTTGGCTTTGGTTATTATTGGACACAAAAGGCCGAGGGGATCAAACAAACGTGAAGATATTGACAAAATGTGTCTTTTAGTAGCTTTCAGATCTTGGAAGCCTCCCTCTATGTAAAATTTCAAAACATCGTTTCTTGGGGCCCAATGAATACCCAATGCCCTTGCAGTCTCGGAATCCGAGTGTAACAACTTTTCACTACAAGTTGTCTCATTAAAATCTGGATGATTAGAAAACCATTTTGTGAGATTTAATCCCGCTGAACTGAGAATAGTTGTGACTTCATCTCGAATTGTGAGAAGACTATTCAAATCAGCGGAACCAGTCAATAAATCATCCACATAGAAGTCGTTGCTTATAACTTTGGCACCAATAGGCCAAGTCTCTTTGGACAAATCGCTCAAATGGTTTAAGCAACGAATTGCTAGAAATGGAGCGGACGAAGTACCATAGGTGACCGTATTCAATCTGAAAATTTGCAATGGATCACTTTCGTTTTGCCTCCAAAGGATTAAATGAAAATCTCTATCTTTTTCGTCGATTAAAACTTGACGATACATTTTCTCAATATCTGCTGTAATTACGTATTTGTGTAAGCGGAATCGAAGTAACGTTGAGTACAACTCTTCTTGAATGGTTGGACCTACCATCAAGAGATCATTGAGTGAAACATGTGAAGATGTTTTACTCGATGCATCAAAAACGACGCGAAGTTTCGTAGTTGTACTTTGAGGTCGGAAAACACATTGATGAGGAATGAAATAATGTGGGTTGTTAGGAATTTTATTGTTCGTTTTTTCCATGTGACCTAAGTCAAGATACTCTTTCATGAAAGAATTATACATTTCTTTAGATGTGACGTCATGAGAAAGTTTTCTTTCCAATGCCAGAAACCGCCTTTTGGCAGTTTCAAATGACGAACCCAAAAGTCTCACATCTTCTTTGAAAGGTAAAGACACTTGGAAGCGTCCTGACGATAAACGTCGAACATATTTTTGGAAATGTTCCTCACATTTTTGATGTTCCTCAGACCGAATTTTAGCACAATTATTTGGAATTTCTTCCAACTCCCAGAATTTCTTAACAATTGTATCAATAGTTTCATCATTTTCTATGGCAACATTCAAGTGACATACACCTGAATTCGACCCCTTCGACTCATCGTATTTGCCAGCTACGATCCAGCCAAGAGAAGTTTTTTGCAGAACCGGATAACTTGGATTCGATTTGATTTGGCCTACACAAAGAAGTTCGAAGAAAACTTCAGCGCCAAGCAATAAATCCACTTTACGAGGTTCATTGAAATTAGGGTCTGCCAGCTCTATATTTTTAGGAATATTCCAATTAGCAGTGGAAATCCTCTTATCTGGTTGAAGACTTGTTATAGAACTCAATACCCAGAATGTAGATGAGAATTGGGTTGAATTGAGTCTCGACATTACAGACAGTTGAACTTTATTTTTCGAAATGGAAATTCCTTCCGATATGCCAGTTAAATTTAACCTGCCACTTTCCCGTTTTATTTTAAGCCTTTGTACCAATTCCTCGGTTATCAAATTAGGTTGGGAACCGGAATCTAAAAGAGCTCTAGCCAGAATATATTTTCCTGAGCTACTACGGACCTTCACTAATGCTGTGGCCAACATTACGCCTTCATTCGACGATGAATAATTGACCGAAGCGCTAGACGTAGAAGGCTGCTCTTGATCAGAAGCGTATCGATGCAGTAAGAAATGGTGTGAACCACCGCATACTCTACACTTCACTCCTGAATTGCATTTGGCAACAGTATGACCTTTTTTAAGGCAATTAATGCAAGCAGGGACGTCTTTAATAAATTCAAACCTTTGCAGAACTGGTACGGCAGTGAAGGAAGTACAATTATTTATATTATGCTGTAAAGATCTACAGAACACGCACTTTTCTGAAGATGGTTTCTGTTTAGAAACTGAAAGTGACGTTTTAAAGTTCCTTTTAGGCTGATTCTCAAACTTTGGCTTATTAATTTTGGGTCTTGCACCAGAAGATTCTTCAGCTGATATATGCTGATATCTTTTATTTAAAGCAGCCTCGCAATCAGACCATAATGGGAGCTTCTCGAAATCAAGCTGTTCTTCCCATTTGGATTTAGTGATTGGATCGACCTTTGACATAACTAAATGAATTAAAATGGCATTCGTAATCTTTTTATCATCACCAATAGACAATAGCGAATCATAAATGGCAGAAACCGTGTCGATCATGCTACGCAAAGCAGAAGCTGAAGGTTTAGGGATCTCAGGAAGATCGAAAAGTTTAGCAATATTATCGAAAAATATCAAACAATCATTATCATAAACCTTCTTCAGACTGGCTAATGCTTTGGGATAATTTTCTTCAGAAATCTGAAATGCTCTTACAGTACCGAGAGCTTCATCGGACAAGCATGAAATTAAATGGTTGAATTTTTCTATGTCTGTCAATGTCGGATCTGTATGAACTAAATTTTCAAAAAGACTCATAAAATTTTTATATTCGGAATATTTTCCGCTAAATTTAGGCAATTTCATGTTTGGCAATCTAGATTGATGTGATTGGCCACAAAAAGAAGTTTCAGGCATACTACTTCTCCTATTTTTAGACAAAATTCCTAAAAATAGGGACTTTGCCGTAACGCATAAGTCTTCTAGTTCACCTCGATCATTATTATCGGGATCTAGAATGTCAAGTTCGGATTGCAATCTCATTGCATCATCAATATATTTATTAAGAATGTCTAAGCGACATTCTAGTTCAATTGTATTGAACGAAATTCTCTTTTCTCTGAAAGAAGTTTTAATTCTTTCAATATTTTCAATTACCTTTTCTTTCTGTTGTTTAATGTTAGCTACTTCCGTATCGGGAGTGCTTTGGTGCTTCTTACCACCAGCCATTATATTTAAAGAATTTGAATTAAATTTAAAATTTAAAGAAAAATGTATTTACACACTTAGTATAAGTTTTAGGTAATGATTTAGTTTATTTAAAATAAACTCTCGCTTTTATCAAAATTTTATTCAATGTCAGCTTTAAATGACAATTTAATTATTATTTTAATTAAATTGTTTGGTTTACAAATGTAAACACTAAAATTTCAATATTTTAGAAATTTTACAAAAATTGCGTCGTCTATAGCACCCTTAATATTGATGTTTCGATAACTATCGATAACACTGTTTACCAAATGGAGTAACCGAATACAAGTAGTCAATTACTCACGAAGTGTTTGGCACTATTAGAAACTAATCAAAACAAAGAAAATGAAGTGAAAAAGGCACAATTAAACAAATAAATTTAATAAATTAAAAAAAATATATGTTAATATGCCGAATTCAAATATTTTATTTAAAATTAGTTTCACTCGCGAATGTATTATGAAATTTGTTTTCGCGGATCAGTGAGGTGCTACGAATGTATAAAGTTACAACGAGTGAAATGGCTGACAAAGCAAAAAGCGGAATAAGAAAAGGCAAACTTAATTTATATGTAATAATTAAGTTTGTATTATCTTGCCGCGAAATCAAGCCAAAACGATTCACAAAATATATATAAATTGAAATAGCAAGCGTATACGGATAATTTGTGTGAATTTTGATAAAATAAATTTTGTTTAACAAATTCTCTAACACTGAGTAATTTACAGGTTAGGATTCACACAAATTATGTCCAACGCTGTTACCTGTGAATCAGAATCACTCTCCTGATTATTATGTTTGCTCCTGCATAGACGGCAATCGCAGCGACGGGGCATCTGGATCTGATGACAGCAGCAGGTTTTTGAGGAGAGTATTTATTTATTTTATTTAATTAATTGTTTTTTGATATTTTTAGTATTGTCTTCTTCTTTCTTTCTTTGCAGTAGCTTGGCAAAGATGTTTTGTAAAAACTTAACAAAACACACCGACACTTTATAATCCCGGGTTTCGGCACCAAAATGTTCACCTTTATTTTAAGGTAATTTCACTTTTAATTCTATTTTTTAATTATAAAATTAATTTATTTATAATTTTTAATTATTGTTATTTTGATTTATTTTAGGGATTTTTTTTGGACGGCGAGAAGAAAAAGACGCGTTTCGTTGGCGGTATAATTCACAACAATAATTTTTATTTCATTCTATTTCATTATCTTATTCTTCTACATCTAACTTAATTGTAATTTTACATACTATTTTAATACTAATTTTTACAACTAAGAACTTCACATTATGTTTACATTAAAATTAATTCATTAATTAAAATTCAAAAATAAATAAAACAAAAATCAAGAAAAATATATTTTAAAAATTCAATTTAGCAATAAAACTGCTCCAACAGAGTGGTTTACCTTTAAATTGATATCAATTATATTGCTCGAACATCACAACACAACCCACGGGAAGGGAATCTGGACAAGTAATTAGAAGGGCTGTACTGAATATTGGGAATATATTCGGAAAATATGTCATTGTAAGGAAGAGGTGCTGTTGATCTCTAATCGTCCAAGAAGATGCAAATATCACGAAAAAGTGCCCAGGCTCGAAATAAACGTCCGCAGAAAGTTAAAGTTCTGTGGTTGGTCGGCCACGTCAGAACATACTGCTCCACTCACTAGTTTTTTCTTATGTTATATATTTTTATTCATTTTATTTGGTTTTCAAAATCTGTTGTTACATTTAAAAAAATTGACCTCCATTTTCATTCCATTTTAGCCAACAAATTGGATCTCTGACCCATTGTGCGATGCTATTACTTGGATTTACGGGTTCTTGGCTAAAAATGTAGACGGACCAAATTTTTAATATAGGTCTTTTCATTCCCTGCCAAATTGTCCAATTATTTTCCTCAAAAGATGTCAAACTTTCTCGTACAGTATTTCCATTGTGAAATCACTCTATGTTACATTTTCTAGACGAATCTGACAGATCTTTATAATGTACAATTGATACGAACTTTTTTAGAAAATGTGGAATATTGAGTTTTGTCTGTGAGTCTCCAAGGATGTCATTTCCAAAAGGAATATTTTATTTATTTTAACTTACCACTCGTTTCTTCACTACCAATCATATGAATAGAGAGAGAAGGTTTGGAAAGAAACATTTTAAAAACATTAAGAGGTGTATATGAAATAAAAACTTAAGTTTCTATAAAATCTATGAATGTTGTAAATATAAAACCAGTGAGCGGAGCAGTATAGTCGGACGGGGCCGAACATATGAAACCCTACACAACTACCACGGAACTCTAACTTTTGCGTATGTTCATTTCGAGCCTGATCAATATTTCGTGACATTTGCACCCTTTTTGACCGATTAGAGATCAAAAGCACCTCTTCCTTACACTGACATATTTTCCGAAAATCCCAATACTCTGTACAGCCCTTCTAATTACTTGTCCAGATTCACTTCACCGTGTGTTGTTTTGTGATTTTCGGTTTTGTGGCCTATAGATTGACTCAAAAAAATACAAAAAATTTAGTTTTGGGTCCACTTCATCCCAAAATTTTAATCCGATCATCACAGAAAATTATAGGCGTAGTCCTTGACCATACCAGGATCCTCAAGGAAAATTTCAAAGCGATGAGCGCTATATTTCCTCCATCTATTGTTGTAATGGGTTACTAAATAATATATGAATACGTAAGCTCCTGAAAATATTTACGTGTAACTCCCGAGTACATACGACCATATAATTGGTATCAATTTAAAGGTGAACCACTCCTCTTGGATATACTAACAACTCCTTGGGTCTATGTCGTTCAGGAGTAAATATATACGACATAAAATACAAATTTTGTCATTTTTCACACAAAAGTCAGCGTCCATTTGACCCGCTAAATATTGACCCATCTTTATCAAAACAGGCATGCTTATTCTTTGGCCCGATCCCCTTGTTTGTGCGAAAATTCGCGATGTTTGGGCCATAATTGCAGCCTCTGGAGCGACCAGAAAAATCGACAAAAATTAAGTATTTGGTCCCTTTCATCCCCAAAATATTAACCGATCTTTACCAAAAACAATAGGGGTCTTCATTGGGCAGAACCCATCCTACATGCAAAATTTCGTGAAGATTGACCCATAACTGTGGCCTGTATCGCGTTTACAAATTATTATGGACAGACGGACGGACGGACACACATGTCTAGATCGACTCAGCTAGTCGAGATATGACGATCGGTATACTTAAAGGTGGGTCTAGGACCAATATTTCTCGGTGTTACACTCTTGGGGCTGCACAAAGCTATAATACCCTGACAACATAGTTGTGTAGGGTATAAAAATAGTTTGACAATTTCTCTGTTATCTAATATTTTAGGAGAACAATGTCATTCTCGACTAAGGAGAGCAGGAGTGTAAACAAAACACCACAAAAATGTTTAGCTGGGAAACCACCTATGAACTTTTACAGATTATTCAATAGAAACAAAAAAAGTAAATAATTTACAGATATTGACAAACTTTGTGTCATTGTGTCTATCTATATGACCAAAAAGCCATAATACTGAAAACAACTATGTACATGTTTTTCTGTATCTCCCAACAATTGTTTAGACAAATTTTCAAACATGCTCTACATGGATGCATGCATGAGTTTCACAATTAATTTGTATGGTTACTAAAATTTCAAATCATGCATTTACCACATTTCCAATTAACCGAAATTAAACTTTGCACTTGGTGTTGGTTTTTTTTAAGAACATCAAACCACCTAACATTTTAATTTAAAATCATTTGAAATTAAAATGTATTGTGTTGTGTTCCACTCCAACTAACTTTTACATGCCACAGAAACACATACACGTATACACACATTTACAAATAACTAAGAAAACTTTGTTGCAAATATAGACAACAGAACACACAGAAAATTGTCGACAACGCTCTTACAGGTGTGGTGATGTGTCAGGAGCTCAAATGTAAAAAACGACGAACCATGTTTGGGGTAAAATAGAAATGTATGTGGGCATATTGTTTTGACACAATTGTTATTTAAAATGTTTTACCACGCACACACAAACAGACACAATATGAGATGTGGCAGGAGGGAAAATGGACACACTTTACAAACTTTAAAATCTGTCATAATAATTGAGTTATAATAAAAAAATGCTATTTCCTGAAAAATCTCCGCAGAATGGGAAGGGTTCAGACTTGTCATTTGCTATAAATAATAATAAGAATTTTGAACTGGGATTGTCTCATATCTGAAATGCAAACGCATTAGATGTTTTGAGAATAGAACATCATGTCGACGACGTGTTGCCAACAAAATGTTCAGTTTCAAAATCCTGCTCACTTTGCTATCTTTTGTCTTTGCCTTGGCTGGTGATAACACATGAATAGCAGAAAGTTTTTAGTCAAAGTTTTAGAAAATATTTCTTCTCTTGAAAACGTAAATGGGCTGTATGACTTTTGTAATGCAAAACATGACAGAAGATTTTCTCCAAAACGAGGTGGGGATGAAAAATAGGAAAATAGGTGAAACGAATTTCAAAGATCTGTAATTTTTTAGAAAAATACACCGAAAGAACATTGATTTAGTCCGATGTCCACTGACTTGCTTATCCATTAGCAAGTCACATTCGAAAGATCTTAGGTAAGTATTTGTAAACATCTCAGACTGAAATTGGATTTGAAAAAAAAAAATTAAAAAAAATCATCGGATAGCATTAGATTAAAAAAAAACATTTCCTCCACTAAACATCTCAGGAGTAGACATTTATATGTATATCTCTCAAACTCTGTCTCAAATATAACCTGCCTACCTAATATCACCCCCCTCCATTCGAACGCCTTGTACTGACATACATTAGGTTATCCACAATACAACAAAACAGGCATCTGGCATATGAACCCGTTGGGTGTTATTCACTTGATCTATGTTATGCAACACGTCTTTTATTACTTAAAACCACA